TAGTATGTTATGCCAATTGAGCTTGATGTCCTCTGGGACTATGGTCTTGAGCCCACAGGTTCAACTACTTGGTCCCTCTGGGTAGCTGTCAGTGAGGAATGCTATTTAGAAGAGAGAATGGCCATACTTCTTCCTGCCTATTTTGGTCATGTTGTTAGAAAAGGATCATTCCCTGGAGAAATATATCATTTTTAGTAAAATAGTGGGTCAGCAGAAAGGGGGCGGACCCTCCACAAGATGGATTGGCACAGTGGCTGCAATGATGGGCTTAAGCATAACGGGGATGGTAAAGATGGCACAGGACTGGGCAGTGGTTCATTCTGTTGTACATAGGGTTGCTCTGATTTGGAGCTGACAACAATTGGTCAGAGACTTTTCTAAGTGCTTTCTGGACTGTATTCCATTTAGTCCTTGTAATAACTGTGATGCCAATATCCACATTCTATAGCAGAGAAAAATGAGTCTCAAGGAGTTCTGCAACTTTCTGCAGGTCAAACATGATTAGCACTCCCAAGATGAATTCAGGTTTACTTGCCTTCAAATTCTGTGGAATTCACCACTGTATAATGCTGCTCTCAAAAATTTAGGAAATGAGGAAAATATACATCATAGGAATTTTGAAAGGGTTCCTGGAGGTAATATATTTCTTTTAGAATTCACAATATATTTTATAAATGTTAGTTATTCTTAAGAGGGCAGGAAAGTAGGCTCATACTTTTCACTTTTCAGGTGAAGGGAATTTAGAGGATGAATGAATAAGATGCATGAAGAAAACATTAAAAAATTTCGCTGCTTAAATATTCTCATGCTCATAATTCCATAGATCAGTGCATTTGGACTGGGTTCAACTGGACAGTTTTTCTGGAAAGATGTATAAAAGCAAGGCAGTTCTGTTTTGGGAAGTTTGCTGGCTCTGAGCTGGGAGTAGAGATGAAAATTTTAGGTACTTATTTTAGGTATTTATTTCTTACCGATATAATCCTCTATTATGTTCTGTGCATGAGTTCCTAATAATTTTCTCATTACACCAAAGGTTTGCGTGTGATGGGTGCTTGGTATATGTCTCTCTCTCATCAGCAAGCTGACTAGCTAAGACTTGTTCTCATAGCACCAGGGTAGAGTTCTAAGAAATAGAGAGAGAGCAGAAGCATATAAGACCTCTTGAAGCCTAGGTTTGGAACTGGCACAGTTATCACTTACACTTTCTTCTTTCACCAAAACAAGTTACAAGACCAGCACAGATTCAAGGGAGTAGAGAAGCAGACATGATGCAAAAGTCATGCATGTGCAAAGTCCATTGTAAAGGGGCATACCTAAAGGTGAGATAGAAAATTGTGGCTATTTTTTAAATTTACTGGAGAGGAATCTAGTTTATAAATATGTTACCTATAGAGGGTGAGCCATTTTTTCAAAAACCTTATATTGAATTATAAAAGAGTAATTTGTTCAAATGCTAAACTTTTACAAGTATGTCATTCTGACAGTAACAATGTGGCTTCATGAGACCAATCGCCAGGTTGGGTGGTGATGTACTGCTTATTTTCGACAGCCTTCTGTGATGCTAATTCAAGGAAGCCGCATTTAAGCTGCATCTCTGCAAGTGGTAAGGTCCATAGGGTCTTTTAAATCCTCGCTGCACACAGAGCAACAAAGGAAATCACAACTGTTTCTTCCCACTCAGTTTTCCATTGCCATCTTTCAAAGCGTGGCTTTCTTTTTACTTTTATCTGTCTTTTACAACAGGATCAGTGGACTTAGTTGGCTGGAAGAAGGGTTTTCTGTTCTCTCCTATGTTACATAATGAAGCCTGGATATTTGTCTTAGAATCTTTTCCACTTATATAGACCAGAAAGAAAATAAGAGAGACTACTTCATTCATTTCTTTGTGTATCACATCTTACCCTTTTATCTCCACACATTCTCATTTTCAAACTTACCTAACATGTTTCCCAGTTTCACATCTTATCATTTAGGAACCACAAGAAAATTCTTAGTTCTTCTAAAAGATGATCCTCCTATTAATGCAATTATTTCTAGTTAGCTTATATAAGCTTAGACCCAAATGGAGTTGTTTGATTTTTTTCCCATTTTTCCCATGAGTTCTTTATATCATCCCCTCCTTTCCTCTTATTTTTTCTATAAATTCTTTACAATACAAATTTAATATGATGATATTAATGGATTTCATTATTGGTTCTCACGTCTTTGAGTTATCGTTCTTTTAATTTAAAGTAAATGTTTCCTTCATTTAAATTAAAAGGAATAATTTATGTAAGGTGTCTTGGAAATAGTAAGATCTCAGTTAATGTTCTCTCTTATAAATGCTCCTGCTACTACTTCAATATCGTTATTAATTTATTTTAAAGCAAACTGTATGTCTTTTTTATGTCTTTAAATTTGCACCATTAAGCAATAAAAGGAGCCATCTAGATAATATGAGAATGTATGTTAGAATTTGAACATACTTTTACTTTGTAACTTTCTGGCAATTGAAATAACTATCACTGTTATTTTTAGAAATGTTTCAGTAATTGATAATTGTGAAGAGCTAGAACCACTCTCTCAGTACTTAAGCCTAACATGTTTGGGGAATGTTGTTGTTGTTATGTGCTGTCAAGTCGGACCCGACTCATAGCGACCCCTCCTTGGGTTTCTGAGGCAGTATCACTACGGAAGTAAATTGCCCCATCTTCCTTCTGAGGAGTGGCTGGTGGGTTTGAACTGCCAGCCTTCTGATTAGCAGTCAAGTGCCTTAGGCACTACGCTATCAGAGCTTCCTGGGGAATGTTAGTAGATCAAATTTATATTTTCACAAAGCTCGGTGCATATAGTTGTTACTTAAGTTGTAATTCCTCATATATTATCTTGTGGCCAGTGTTATGTTGTTATGTTGTTACGTTGTTGTTAGGTGCCACTGAGTTGGTTCCAAGTCATAGTGACTCTATGTCCAACAGAGCAAACTGCCGCTCAGTCTTGGCTCATCTTCACAGCTGTGCTGTGCTTGAACCCATTGTTGTAGCCACCGTGTCAATCTATCTCATTGAGGGGCTTCTTCTGTTTCACCCACCATCTACTTTACCAAGCAGGATATCCTATACATTTATTCAAACCATATTTTGTCTTATTTCTTTCCTAGAACCTGAATGACTTTCTAAAAACTTTTTAGTTCTTCATTTTGCTTAATTATTTAATAATATGCCATAGCAGATAGGTCATTTATTAAGTGAATTGTTAATATTTAACCCAACTTTGCAGTCCTCTATATTGCTGGAATAGCTTTAGTAACAAAGTGTTTAAAGCATTTGGCTGCTAACCAAAAGGCCAGCAGTTCAATCCCACCAGCAGCTCCAAGGGAAAAAGACAAGGCAGTCTGCTTCTGTAAAGATTTATAGCCCTGGAAACACTATGGGGCTGTTCTACTCTGTCCTAAAGGGTCTCTCTGAGCTGGAACTGACTCCATGGCAGTTGGTATATGGTAAAAGTCTATTAGTAACTCCTCATTCTTGCTCTTTTCAAATCATAATATCAAGATATCACAGACTCCCAAAAGTTGGTGTTTACCAATTCTGTGGACTTCAATCCTAACAATCCATGACTATGGAACATGGCCACTCATTCTTCTTCTTCTTCTTTTTTTTTTTTTCTTTCAAGAAAGACACATGAACACAACAAGCACAACTGTTTGGTGATGAAGCCCAATAAAAACTTGAGAAAGGGAGAACTGCTTTGGTACTTTGGTACCTATAGCTTATTTCTTTAGCTTCTGACAAAACAAGCAAACAAAAACAAAACAAAACCCTGATTTTTTATTGCTAGAGCATTATGTTCCTGGAACAAACTTTAAAAATTGTTTTGCTTTATATAATCATGATGTGGTGGTGGCTGGGCATTTGACTGAAAAGAGCAAGCCAGAGCCATAGATAGGTAATATCCTAAGTAGATTCACTAGTCACCTGTAGATAGACCTCGGTTTCCCTTCAATTGTCATTAAGAAAAAAACAAAAGACAATTGGTTTTATGTACTCTCGCTCACTTGTTGGGAGGGATGGGGCAGCGAGGAGAGAAAGACGCGTGGAGTGCGGCGTGTAAATAAAGCAGAGAGAAGCTCTACAGAGGGTGGGAACAGAGCTTCACGGAAGGAAATATATGAACCTGGTTGGTACAACATAGCTTCCCCAGACCCACCCACCCACTCTTTACAGAGCTTCGGATGGCGGCGAGAGGCTGGCGGCGAATGGTGTTTTTGGAGAGAGGCAAAATCTGCAGGGCGAAATCAGAGCAGACTTCACCTTCCAGTGGTTGAGCTCTCCTGACCTCTGGTCAGCCTTCGCTCCCTGCCACCACCATCTGCGCGCTCCTGGCTGGGTCGGGGAGCGCCGGCTGGACCCGCCCCAAGCTCCATGGTTTGCCCAGCCTTGCGCGATGGTGACTCTGGGCGCGGAGGTTGGCGCCAGGCAAGTCAGCAGCTCACAGAATGAAGGCGGGGAGCACGGCGTGGACTGCCTCCCCGACCCCAGCACCCAGACCAGCGGCCCAACCACCTGAATCCGGAAAACGCCAACAAGTAGTTTCTCTTCGGAGAAGGGCGGCTCGGCTGGGTGTCGGGACTCAGTCCTGCTGCCCGGAGCCTCTCGTCCACTCGGAAACCATAGCAGAGCCACTTTTCTCTGGGTCTCCTTAAGGTATCTGGGGGTAGGAGGAGGGAGGATGGTTTCCCGCGAAGGGCACACTGACCCCGCAGGCTGGCGTCCACTCCGCCCCCCGCCCCCCACGCCGTTCCGCAAAGGGAATGCGGAGGTGAAAGCCCCGGGGAAAGGAGGCTGGGCACAGAGATGCTGTCAGCCTCGACTTCCAGCTCGGGGACCCAGGGGGGTGTGCCTCTGGAGGCTTTGGGCTGGGCCTCACCCCTCCTCGAAAGCAACCCTCTCCTTCACCCCCTAGGCGTTTGTTTTTCTTGTCAAGGGGGATGGGTGAGATACGTTCGGTTACTTCTATTCTTAAAGATGGATCCTAGTTAGTCGTTTCCGTTCTTAAGTAGTAATAATAATAAAAAGAATACTAACAGCAGCAGCAGCAACAATAATGTGAAAAGGAAATTGGATCAGGAAATTAGTCAGAGGCTACAGCAGGGAAAATTTTGCTCTCATTTCTGCGTTCAGTCTTGTTGCCTGGTCTGTAAGGGAGATAGTAAGACCTGAGCCAGGAGAACAGGTCGTGGAAAGTGTACTCCTTGAGCTCTAGGGAGCAGCGTGCTGTCCAGGGTTGACCGAGGGTAAGAGGGTAATCGGGGCTCTCCGCCGAATCCGGGGGGCTCTCACTCCGCACTGCCTGTGGCCTTAAGGAAGACAACTCCCAGCTAGCGGGGGAGAGTCAGGGGCTAGGAGAGTGGAAGAGAGGGATTAGAGGAGGGGGACAGAAGGGGCAGGGGATGAAAAGAGAGAGTTTGGGGGGGAGAGAGGGGATGTGAGGAAGAGAGGTAGGTTAGGAGAGCGGAAGAGAGAGGCTTGGGAGAGGGAAAGAAGGCGACTGAGGAGAGGAAGAGAGGGGACCTGGGGTGGGGAGAAGAGATTTGGGGAGAAGACAGAGGGACTAGGGGCGGGAGAGAGAAAGAGTTTTGGGGGGAGAAAAGAAGGGATAGAGGCTGGGACCAGATTAGACTTGGAGAGGTGAGGGAGGATGAAGGGTGAAAAGATGAAAGCAGGGAGAACCCAGCAAAGTGCAGAAAGTGTTAGGCTGAGAAAGAGGTGTCATGGAAGGTCAAGGAAGACTTGGACTGCTATCGCCTTAGTTCTCTGGAAACCTGGGAAAGGTGTGATGCAAGAGGTGGGGACAGGGCAGGACGCTGATCTCCTCCTTGCCGTCTGCCAACTCTGCATCTCAAGGCTCTTGGGCTAGGGATGGGGGATCGCGGGGCGGCTGTGACCGCCCAGATCTTTAACTTGGGGTTGTGTTCGCTTTTCCCCAGTCATGTCTGAGCCACAGAGATGGGCAAGATCGAGAGCAACGAGAGGGTGATCCTCAATGTCGGGGGCACCCGACACGAAACCTACCGCAGCACCCTCAAGACCCTGCCCGGGACGCGCCTGGCCTTGCTGGCTGCTTCTGAGCCCCAGGGTGACTGTCTAAAGGCGGTGGGCGACAAGCCACAGCGGTCGCCACCTCCGCTCTCGCCGCAGCCGCGGGCGCCCGCGCTGCCCCCGGGACCTGGAGGCTGCTTGGAAGGCGGCGCCGGCAACTGCAGCCCCCGCATCAGTGGCGGTGACCACCCGGTCGGCGGCCGCGAGTTCTTTTTCGACCGGCACCCGGGCGTCTTCGCTTATGTGCTCAACTACTACCGCACCGGCAAGCTGCACTGTCCCGCCGACGTGTGCGGGCCACTCTTCGAAGAGGAGCTGGCCTTTTGGGGCATCGACGAGACCGACGTGGAGCCCTGCTGCTGGATGACCTACCGGCAGCACCGCGACGCCGAGGAGGCGCTCGACATCTTCGAGACCCCGGACCTCATCGGTGGCGATCCCGGCGACGACGAGGACCTGGCGGCCAAGAGGCTGGGCATAGAGGATGCAGCGGGGCTTGGGGGCCCCGACGGCAAGGCTAGCCGCTGGAGGAGGTTGCAGCCCCGCATGTGGGCCCTGTTTGAGGACCCCTACTCGTCCAGAGCCGCCAGGGTAAGGCCAGAATTGGACCCCACTCCTGCTGCTCCGAATTCTAACTCCCTTTCCAACTTGCTGTTCATTCTCACCCAGGGCCTATGGGTTGGGAGGTAGGGGGAGAAGAGAGTAGGGCCTCCCCAGTGAGGTTAGAGGCCCATCTGGTGCAGGGTAGACCCGGGGACCGTTGGCACCCATTGCACCCCATCCCCCCTCCTGCAACTCAAACCGCTATCTGTTTCAGCAGGTAGAACCTAGAGCGCAAACAGCAACTTCTCTGTACCAATCTGTCTGGGATCTTGCCCTAAAGCCGGTATCATACATCCTTCTGAGATTTACCTCAGTCTTTTATTCCAACTTTTCCTTAGCTTGGATGTCACCTTGAGCCTCCTGGTCATCCTGGCTTGACTTGACATTTTCAGTGAGTCCTGACACTCATTTACATCTGACTCACCCAGAGCAGTGGCTCCAATTAGGGATCTATTCTGAGGACACAGGAAGGGGAAATGGAATATATGTGCATGGCAGTGTGTGTGTGTGTGTGTGTGTGTGTGTTGGGGGGGGGGACAGAAGGGACTCACTTTTTTTTCACTAGAAACTCCTGAATGCTGTATAGACCTGTCTTGAGTTGACCAGAGAGCCCACATGTATACTGAATGTTGGAGTCTGGTGTCTTTTTCCTTGGGATGTGTCTATATTCTTCACAAGTTGAGTGTGAATTAGTCACTTTGATGATCTGAGTTTAGTTGATTCTCTAAATTTTGACCATTTTCAATTGTAGCAAACTATTTTACTCTTCAGACTGTGACCTCAGCCTTAATTTTTCTTTTTGGTTTCTAGTTTGAGTGGCAGCTTAAACTTAGTTCTTTAACTTCTAATTCCTTCTTCAAAATCTCAAAAGGGAGTATAAAAGTAACTAAGAGTGGTACTTCCTGTTTAGAGGGAAAAAAAACCATAAGTAACTAAAAATTAAACACTATGTGAATGTTTTTTAATTATACTGAGTTTAATTAAATATCTGCAACTGCCTGTGTCTGGTTTACTTCTGTAACCCAGAACAGACACCCCCTGGGAAGAATGGGAATTCTCCCAGCTTTACTTTGGCTGCATCTTCATTGTGATCTTCCTCTGCATCTGAGATATTGTGCAGTTGTCTATCTACCAACGTATTTTAAATACTGATGAAAACCAGGCAGTCAGAAGATAGGCTTCCGATAACACTTTGGAAGGCTGAGGAAACATTAGGAAGTTTGACATACAATGCAAAAGAGACATTAAGGCATTACTGTTTCTTGGATTTGGTATTTAAATGCATGCTTCAGTTGTAGCATGCCCACATTCACATATTTGAATATAGAATTACTAACTTTAGCTGTGAAGCATTTTTTTTAAGACCATTCTGTAAACCTAACCAGAGTTGTTTTGAAGAAAACAAAAATAAGTGCATATTTATTTAAATTAAATTACAAGCTCACTACTATTACGTCCATTTTTTTTATTCCAGCTGAGTGTCATGGTGCTTGTTCCACTTGGTGGCTAAAAAGATAATGAGTTTTTTCAGGCTCATCATGTGATTTCCGCCCCCCTCCCCATTTTGTACTGTATGAAAGACAGAATATTTTATTGTCTTTCCTCATGATACCATAATAAATTTTACTTTAGGCCAGATTGCAAAGCACAAACTTTAAGGAGGTGAGCAATCTTTATCATTTCAATTGAATTTCATTCTATTGATTATCGGTAAAGTAGGTAGACCATTGACTTGAAAATAGTTGTTTTTTTTTTTATTAATCTTTCTAAGATTTTATTGTAATAACACTGAGAGTTTGACCTGCACCCATTTTAGGTGAGGAAAGAACACAGATTGATCAGTGATTTATACAAGGTCAAAAAGCAACTAGAAGCAGAGTCAGCTAAGAATCATGGATCTGCGGACCTTCTCTGAGGTTACTTAGTCAAGACCCCTTATTTTGTAGATGTGAAACTGAAGACTGCAGGTGCTCTGTGATGACCTAGGTTGTACAGCAAGTTAACAGCAGAGCCAAAATTATTCCTGAGGTCTCATGACATCCTCCCAGGCCCTTTGCACCACAACCATTTATTATAACTGACTGTCTGGCTTGTGAAATCTCTGCAGATGTGTGTTGCTCTTGAGATTTAATGCAGCATAAGACATTCACTAGAATTCTAACTTCAAAAGGTCATCTATGACTTTTTAAAATATATATATGTATTCTATCACTTTGGCTGGTAGAATTCTTACCCTGTACCAACCAACATTAGAATAAAAATTTAGGACTTGAATTAACTTAAGCAGCCCTCATTGAACTTTTCATTTGTATTGGCCAGTCCAGTATTTAATGTTTTGCTTTCTTTCAGGTTAGCTGTCAAATATGGGATCTGTCTTGAGGGAAATCTCTTTTTGAATTACCAGGGATGACCTTAGAAAGAGTGACCATAAATCACCACTCTATTTAAATGTGATTTAATATTTTTACATTACCACTATTAGTTCAGATGATAGCCTGACTTCATGTTAGCTGCCTAGTTTGATAAATAGAAGTGTATTGAAAGGCCAAAGGATGAAATTATCTTTTGCATGGATATGATTCTAAGAGACATAATCAATTTTCAAGCTGTTTGCTTTAGCTGTAGTTTTACTGCCACAAGTTTTATTCTTAATGGAAGTTAAGTATATAAACTTTCATAAACATTCCTTTTTTTTCTATTGGTTCATATTTTATTGTTACATTTGAACACTTTCATCTGTCTGAATTCCTTTTTCAATTTGTTATACTTCCTCTCAAATGTTTCTTTATCCTTTTCCAATATTGGAGAAATTGACTCAATTATATAATAGATATGTGTTATTTCTAGCTTTTATGAGCAAAAGTGACAGACTGAAACAGAAGTGATAGAAACTAGATACTCAATTGAAATTTGCAGCACTGTGATTTTGTCTTAGGTTGGCATATTCCCCTTCTTTATTGCTTTCAATTTATGGTGTAAATACGTATTTGAGAATTTGAGAGTTCTAAATTGTCCTAATTAATTTGATAAATAAAATTTATATTTTATAGTTTTGACTTATGAGTTTATATATTTAGGATTAGTATTCAAAAACAGGTATTTATAAAATTCAAATACAAGTTGTCATGGAAACCTGTTGTGGAAAAATCAGATCAAGAGAGAAAAGAAGAAATTACTCTGTTGATGCCATTGAGTTATATTTACGAATAGTAATAGGGATGCATAAATGTGTTTGTAAAAATGTTATGCATTGTGGATTTCCAATTTAATATTTATTTAAATTTTAGAAGCAAATGAAGTTTGTATGTGCATTCCTCTGAAGATACTGTATCATAAGTAAGTGGAAGACACCAGGAAGAAATTTTGATGAAACTTCTGGGTATTTGAGAAGTTTTTAGGTCAAAATAGTACAATAAAAATATAGGTAAAAATTTTGTTTCCAAAATTTCTTCTTTTCACTTTGTTTTCTGGGGGAGGTTAATTGAATTCGGTTTTATCTTAGAGTGTGTCTCTTCCTTGGTTACTTATGTT